CACCAACTCGGTACCCATTAATTGTAATTCGTCTATTTATAGCAATATTCTCTATGATTTAGAGGCGGAATTAACAGGTTGGTTTGGTTGGTTACGGTGATATGTATGACGAATGTTTTTAGTATGCTACTTCAAGTTTGCGTATCTACAAGTTTTGCTGGTCAACCTCATACAAATTTCAGTGCAAAGACATGGCCACTTGTTTCTCTGCCTGTTGTAAAAAAAACGTTCAGTCCAACGAAAATTTTGGGAAAAGTTGGAGCCGGGCAAAGAGACAGAATTAACATTGCAGTCAATAAGAAAATTTAGGATGGTCTGCATCCGTGTAGATCTATTATAGTTACCTCCCTTTGTCGAGCTATTTCCTAAAATCTGCTGGTAAATCATGGAATGTATAACGTTTATATAAAACAATCGTAATTAGAAACAATCGTAATTTGACTCGTGCGGCAGAATCATTGGCACGCATGAGCTGATGACAGCAAAGTCGACCAATAACTCTGACCAAGTCATTCGCCACACTTGGTTAAAAACCACACACCGGCGCCACACGCAAACCCATCAAAGCAGAGTTTTTAAAATTTGCAGTCATCAAGATTATGAAGATAGCTAAGTAGTTTATAATACATATAAAACAAAACCATAAAAATCCTTCTTAATGTCAACACTATCTTTGAATTCACATGCATAGATAATGTAACAAATTAAAACAAATAGGCTACCACCGTACTATGGACCATATAGGCTGACTATGACATCAATCGATGCGTAATTGTCTAAAGAACATATCGAAAGTAAAGTACTTTTTTGATGAGCCCCTTTTTAATCCAGCCGTTAGAATTCGATATAAGAGTAGGCCGTAGCGCCGCTGTCCGGGCAAAATGTCCCTCATAGCACACGTATGCATGTTTTCATTAGCCCGGTATAGTTTTAGGTCTGGACTTCTGATCATAATTTTACGGTTGAACACACCCGCTCTCTAATAAAATACATCTTTTACATTAAATTTATCAGTGGATTTGATCCCTTATAAAATAATAGAAAATGAAATGGGGTTTAACGTCCACTCGACACAAACTAGGTCATTTCGGGACTAACACATGGTTCAATTTTATTTCAATAATTCGCTTACGCGTAGGGATCTTTAGTAGTGGGAGGAAACCGGGGGAGCCGGGGAAAACCCACGAGGTTGGACAGGCGACCCTACTCCTTGTCACGTACAACCGGGCATTCGAAACCACGCCAGTCGACTCAATGACAGACTTTATGATGCAGCGCGTGCACGCTAACCATTCAGTCATCCGCCCCCCCCCCCGAGAGAGAGAGAGAAAGAGAGAGAGAGAGAGGATTTAGCTACGACACCAACCAGATCATTTCTTGTGTGTGTGTGTGGGGGGGGGGGACACCAGCTGTGGGAGGACACTGGAGAATCTGGAGAAAGCCCACGTGGTTGGACAGGGGACTTTATGACAGATTTAAATCGTTTATTATCATTTGGCTAATAGATAATTAATGCGACAACAATTATTCCATGTAAAATAAACGAAATGTATTTAAATGGATTTTATAAAGTAATGTACCAAATAATCCCCATGTAATTCTATACTCGTTGAATCAAAACCACACAACCTGACTGAGTAACAGACGATATGATCGAAAGCACACGTGCTAGACCATTAAGCCACCGACACCCCCACCCCACTCCCGAACCACCCGAGTGAATAGAGCACGTGTTATTAGACCCATCATGCCATTGACTACTCTCCTCACCCCACCCCGAACCCGCCCGAGTGAATAGAGCACGTGCCAGACCATAAGCCATCGACCCCCCCCCCTCTCTCCCGAATCACCCGAGTGAATAGAGCACGTGCTAGACCATTAAGCCACCGACACCCCCCACCCCTCTCCGAACCCACCCGAGTGAATAGGGCACGTGTCAGACCATAAGCCATCGACAAAAAACCTGTCCGAGTGAATAGAGCACGTGTTAGATCATTAAGCCATCGCCCCCATCCCCCTCCCCGAACCCACACGAGTGAATAGAGAAATGAATGATAAGATATCCGGGGAGATTATGTTGGTACTCCCTTTATTAAAACTATTTCATTTATTTTATGAAATTTCCTTAAATCTAAGTGTGACAAAATCAAACGCATTGTATCGTTTAGTAACCTAAATATTTGCTTCAACGAGTATAGAATTACATTGGGATTATTTGGTACATTACTTTATAAGATCCAATTAAATACATTACGTTTATTTTACATGGAATAATTGTTGTCTCATTAATTATCTATTAGCCAAATAATAATAAACGATTTAAATCTGTCATAAAAAAATATCCTATGATTTATTAAGTTTATTGTTGTCTTCAATAGTAGTTGGTTGAGATGACTGGGTACTTAACTACCGGCGACTCGCAAGCAAACTATTTAATTTATTTCATGATATAAGTGTTATCACGTTAACGGATTTAATCCATCGTACATTTGATTATACCATTTGATTGATTCAATGATTTTCTAATCGTACAAAACACATAAATTATTGCGTTGAAACCCACGTATTTAACGGTGAAGTAGTTTGTCTGTTTAGTTTATGAATGGTTTGTACGGTCTGTTAACGGTGTTTAAGTGCGCTCATTGAAACATTATTCGCTTGTGGTTTATACCCTTAAAGTGAGGAGCCCACTGAAGCCAAAATGTTAAGCCATTCATTTTCACTGGTCGATTTATAATGCTTTTTTTTTTACCTCATAGTGATATTGTCTGCGATATCAGTATCGTAGAGGCAGACGTTAAACTATCTAGATACATTCAGAAAGAGAGAATGAAAATGAAATGAAGTGGGGTTTAACGTCATACAGTTCTGCACCGACTGGGCTAATGAACACGGGTATAGGCCATACAGTGTGCTATGAGGGAAAGTTTGCCCGGGCAGCGGCTCTATGGCCTACTCTTATATCGAATGCCAACTACTTTTAGGTCAAATGCAATGTGTACACGGGACCTCGGTTTTTCGTCCCACCCAAACGACTAGACGGCTGTGCTTGTCAGACCCTCCGTCGTGCACCAGTGACAAGGAGAAACCACGTCGGAAAATCTCGACGAATCTTCTCGGCCAATGCAGGTATCGAACACGCGACCTCCAGACTAGCGAGCCAGCGTCTTACCCACTTAGCCATCAGAAAGAGAGACAATGATATACAGGCGTACAATATGACGTTTGGTGGTCTTTAATTCGGTGGGTAGAGTGGTTTAGTCTGTCATTGAGCCAAGTAACATGGTTTCGATTCTCCGCTTGTACGTGACAAGGAGTGGATTCGTCTGTCTAACCTCCTAGGTGAACCGTCCATTTTCGGGCAATGTATACTTCCGTGTTTCGGGTACAAATATCAAAGAATAAGAAATATAATTATATAATTGTAAAATGAAATCGCCAGCGGTTTACGTCTTGAATACTATAGTACTTAATACATTTGTGAAAAACTCGCTTTAGGTAACGATTGATTCCTTCTGAATATTCGTGTGAAAAAGAATTTTTTTCGGGCAAATAACCTCAGCCACCCCCTATATGTGTGTGTGTCTCTTACTGTCTGTCTGTCTGTCTGTCTCTCTCTCTCAATTGATCGGGTGCAGGCTTATTTTAAAATGTGATAATACCGAGTACCCCAAGAATACCCACGAACGTAGACAGGTGACTTATTGTCACGTATAAGCTTACGATTAAAGCCAAGAGATCTGAACCATAGTATGTTTTACAGCCGGCGCGTTTGACCTTGCGTTTCCTCATCGTACACCAAAGCATGAAGGTAGATGTGTTCTTTCACGCTCAGCGACATTAAAGGGGCTTTCCCCTTCGAAAGAGTTTAAATTTAGACGGAAATCGATCGTAGTCAAGAACAAACCTTTTTCGTTAAATAAAGATTCTATTTCAGGCCATCTCGATCCCAAAGTATCTCGGTTGCCTTAGTATACTTAGAAATAGCTATCGTTAACACCCGCTTCCGCAGAAGTGATATCGCCGACAAAACGGTTGAATGGTAATAACTATAAATAGCGGAGAACGCCGTATTTCTAACATGTGTGTATCGCTTTAAGGTTAAAGCACCGTGACCGCTGGAATTAATACATACCATTGATAGGTATAATATACCAGCCGCTGTTTCGTAGAACGCCGTTACTTTAACAAGTGTGTATCGCTTTAAGGTTAAAGCACCGTGACGGCTGGAATTAATACATACCATTGGTAGGTATAATAGGTCTACACGTGTATATACAGTAGATAAAGATGTATATGGAGTTAGATATGATATATACTAGGCTTTATAAAATATACTCTGCTAAACAAACACTATGACCTTTCTACGGTCATTTTTATTTCAAGTTGCTTTGTGAGTTTTATTAAAGCATGTTTCTTCAGCAGTATCAATTGAGCCATTCATCAGGTAGCTGATTCAGTGTTGTTGATAATCGTGTTATTAAATGAAATAGTTGCCATTACAATAATCAAAAAGTGAACTTATCAGCAAGAATTGTTGTGTCATTCACCTGGGTCTGTGGACGTCATATAATTAAGGATAGCACTGTCAGCAGTTAATGATTGTTTGCAGTCTCACCATTTGCGGGAGTAGACGTTAAACCCCATTGTGTTATTCACTGGTGTCTGTAGATGTATAGATTTGAAGATAGCACCAGATTTTGTCTAACAGTGTAGCACTAAAGAAGCAGTTTGAAGATTGTTTGTCGCCGCATCATCTGCGGGGGTGGACGTTAAACCCCATCTGAAAAAGAAGAAACAAGCTAAAGAAGTCTTCCAAGACAACGTCTGATAAACAAGTGACATTTGAACACGGTTTTGGAGAATGTTTGGATACTAGACTTTTACAAATCAAGATGTGACCAGGTTTACTGGTGTATGACGATATGATATACGTCACACAAAAGATGTAATAGATTACATTGATGAAGACCTACTTACTTGTAGCGGATCGTTCCTCCTACTGATCTAAAGATACGGTGCGTTATAATTGTAGATAGATATAAGTACAACCAAAAAACAACCTTTATTGAACACAATTTATTGTGTCGTATCAGAGAAGTCACGAAATCGTAAAGTTGTCGGATCAGGATCGAGCATCTATAGTGCACAACAAGGTCCTAAAAACTCGAGTGCAAACTCATAACCTAAAGAAAGTTGAAAGCTATTGGAAGTTCAGTGCAAATTCCAGACTGAGCAAGAACTTTGTTCAGTCGAGTGCAAATTCCTAAACGTGAGTGGTATTTCTCAGTTGGGAGTCTGTCTTCGATAAAACAAAAACAAAAATATCTAAAAAGTTTCACGAGTAGATTCTGAATTCCAACGACGCGTGTGCTTATAATACTTGGATGTAATGTTTGTGAATCGCTGACTAAATTAGATCTTGTGTTAGTGTTTTTTCGGTTGTAATAAACTAGTCAAGGTATATATTATATTGTGTGTACCGTGTTCATAGCGTCTATTGTTTGGGAAGTTGTGAATATACAACCATACATACTTATTGGTTAAACTCAAGCAGGGGTTTAAACAAGGGTGAATTTTATTTGGATTCACGTGGATTGCTGTCGTGTTCGTTTAGAGTGTCCGTTAGTTAGAGCTTGCTGAAGGATGTACAATTTATCTATAGGGATTTTCCCGACTTAGAATGTTATCTTGGTGTAGATATTTATTAATTTATCATAATTTGTGATCACAAAACTGATTGTTATATCTACATTAATATTACTGTAAATTTTGTGATCGTATCCCGGTGATATTTTAAAGTTTATTTTGTGTTTTAAATTTGTAACAGAAATCTAATCGTCGCCATGGAATACCGTGTCTTATACCTTCTATGTGTTTTAGCCATTTCTACATGTTTCGAACCTGTTTCTGCTGCGGCTTCAGAGGATGAAGCTGTGTGTGGATTTACACATAACGACTGTTCGTATGAAATTCGACTTGTTCCGAAAGGTAATTGTCGGCATCAGGATAAAGTCTTTATGGAAAGCATGATGGACAAACAATTGGATAGCAGTGACTATTCCTCAAAGATGAATCTCATGGAACGAGCTTTCTCCGACGTACGCGTTGACCACGAAAAACGTCTGGAAGGATTGGAAAAGGCTGTCCGGGATCTTCTGGGACTCGACCCAAATTCCGCAGAAATTGATCAAGAAGTCCATCGTAGAAGAGGGAATTTTCAGAACAGCGACGACAAGGAAGTCGTTTCGAAATTACACGAAGAGTTTACTAAATTACGAATTGAAATTAAAAGAAAGAATTCGGATTTAATGGACGCCGAGATTAAATATAATAACAGCATGGTTACTCTGAAAGATGCTCAACTAAAACTTCTGAGAACGAGTCAGGATTTATTAGATGCCGAGAATAAAGTGTCATTTATGGAAAGGGAACGAATGATTCTCAGAAACCAACTGAAGGATAAATCTTACAGATTGGATAAAACAGGTTCGAAGGCGACGGAATGTGAAAATAAAACAGGCACGTTACAAACGCAGGTCTTCTCCTTGTACAGATCCGAGGCGACATTAAAGGAAGATCTCGAAACGTGTGTATACGAGAAGAATAGTACGATAGTCAAGCTAAACGAGGCTAAACGACGTCATGCGCACCTGAAACGACGCCATAGTGATCAGCGTACTGTATTGACAATCAGAGAAAACGAACTGATTGATTGTTATAGCGGTAAGTAGATTTCTATAACCTTGACCGTTTGAATTCGAAATAATGCTAGGCCGTAAAGGGACTGTCCAGGCAAAATTTCCCCCAAAGTACACTACATGGCGCACACCCGTCTTCATTATCCCAGTAGTAGCAAAATAGTAAGACGTTAAACCCCATTTCATTTCAGAGTTTTATAAACAATATCAATTGATCATTTATGGTGCTGGAACCATACGTAATTACTTTCTATGACCAGAATTTTCCGTTTACGACCGGAATCGAGAGGCTCGTAGGAGGCCACGCTGTTATAGTCGAACTTCTTTAATTAGAAATGTAATGAGGTTGATCCCTGCGTAGGCCGAGAAAGTTCACCGGGATTTTCCGGCGTGGTTCCCCTTTGTCAGTGGTGTGGGATGGAGAACGTATAGTCGTTCGGATGGGACGACGAATAACCGAGGCCTTGTTAACACATTGGCGTACACGTGAAAGATCCCTCGGCAGTTGGAATTCGATATACGAGTAGGTTATAGCGCCGCTGTCCGGGCAAAATTTCCCTCATAGCACACTGTATGGCGTATGTCCGTCTTCACTAGCCCAGTCAGAGCTGTACAGTAAGACGTTAAACCCCATTTCCTTTACTTATAAACTGATCGTGAACCCGGTCCATGAGACGGGACGATTCTCTGAATTAAACACAGTTGCTGTAAAAATGTGGACACTTGAATGACATTTGAATAACATTTAAGCATGTCATAATTATGACTTTACCTCTTCAATTAAATATTTTAAAAATCCGTAGGCAATTTACTGTAGATATGCAATGCATTACATGTCTAAACGTCATAATTATGACATTACCTCTTCAATTTTATATTTTAAAAAATCCGTAGGTAATTTATAATATTTTTCTGTAGATATATGCAGTGCATTACATGTTTAAAACGCCATTATTACCCCTTCAATTGTATATTTTAAAAAATTCGTAGGTAATTTATAATATTTTACTGTAGATATGTAGTGCATTACAACTTCAAAATAAATTGTATAGACGCGTCGTTTATTATTTGCCATGTCAATTATAATACATTCCTTTTAAACCTTTTTATTCAGTCTTAAATACAGGTTTTTTTTTATTCAAATACCCATATATTATAGCCTAGTCAGACGTTACATTTTTAGTTGACTATAAAGACATGCCTATGCATAATCTATTGTTGCAACTTTTATTCGGTGTCTTGTATAGATCATATATTATAGCAGTTAAATACTATAAAGAAAAGGGGGTTTTAAATAATAATAATAATAATAATAATACACTTCTTCCAATTCTAGCCCCACCCAAATGACTAGACAAATTTTCCATGTAAACTTCGTGTACTAACCCGTGCGATACGCGTAATTCGAACTCCCCAAGAGGTGCGAGGAACGATTTAGAAAGTAAATGGACAGTGAAATATCTGGGCTTACATAGGAAGGATCTTATTGTTTGGATTCGTTACGCCCCGTAGACAATTTGTGTCGAATCATTAAGACTCTTCCTTACATCAGTGTTTCCTTTCATCAAGAATTCGAGCTACGTCACTGGCTTCATTGTGAACAATAGAAAGCGCATAGGGTGGGAGTGGGGGTCGAATAACATACAAATAATTACACAAGACAATCACCCGGACAAGACAGAGACACTTCAAGCAACAAACGCACATATCCGATCAAATTAATGGGTCCGAGAAGTAATGCCCCCATCAGACCGGGGTGGCGTCCTTACTGCGCTACTGCGTCTGTATAGCGACCAGAAAATGCACAAGGTCGCCGGCAAACGTGAACATAACGCGACAAAATTTCTTAAACAATTACAAACTTGAAAAAGGTCGAGTTATCACAGCTTTCCAGGTCAGATCGCAGACCCTTGGCGTTTGTTTTGACATGCTCAAAACAAACGCCGTGACTCGGCGATCATTGGCGTCGATGGAGACCACAGCACGATATCTGGCGTTACCACCAAGCTTTTACAACGCTTATGGCGATCTTGAAGCGCTCTGAGATCATTCTTCGTCGCCGTAGCAGCGCAGTAAGGACGCCAGCCCGGTCTGACGGGGGTATAACTATGGCATACAGAAAAAATGGAAAATGTCCCAGGTGTGTGTCATGATACCTTCCCCTTCCTCCTGGGGAGGGGGGGGGGGGTGGGTGGATGGCTGAATGGTTAGCGTGCGCGCGCTGTATCATAAAGTCTGTCATTGAGTCGACTGGCGTGGTTTCGAATCCCCGGTTGTACGTGACAAGGAGTAGGGTCGCCTGTCCAACCTCGTGGGTTTTCTCCGGGTCCTTCGTTTTCCTCCCACTGCTAAAGACCCCTACGCGCAAGCGAATTATTGAAATAAAATTAAACCATATGTTAGTCCCGGAATGACCTAGATTGTGTCGAGTGGACGTTAAACCCCATTTCTAGATCTATTTGTTAAGGCCAACTCAGGATTTCATCAAGATCGCTGAGATGTAAATAAGGTTAGGGCACCTGATTGTTTGCGAGATTTTAGGTTAGGGCTAGGTCCGGTTAGGATTGGGATTAGCGCTAGCCCTCTTTACACCTCGTGACCTTTCACCAAACTTGAAGTTACCATTATGAATTAGATCTAACCGCATAGGCGTACGGGGAAATTTTTGACTGGGGGGCGGTGTCCAAAAAATGTAGTTAGGTTCTTAGTATGTTACATAATAATAATAAATTCGCTGTTAAATTGAACAGATTCAAGAACACAATATTTTTTATACAACTTTTACAAAGTGCCCAAATTTTCCCAGCATTTGGTACCCAAAATGGGGGGAGGGGGTCGGCCGCTCGTACGCCTATGTCCACCGTGCTAGCCCAGCTGATGTTGACCCAACATTAAATGTCATTTCATTTTCTCCACGCGTTGCTCAGCCCATTTCACAGACTGCCTACTTTCACACTTGTTCGCTGTGAAATGTGCAGATTTTTAGAATTCTTGTCATTATACGATATAACATGAACTTTATCACTGATCTCTTTGTTTCTAACAATAAACATATTTTCCCAGACTTGTACTTCTCGGGTCATTGATCTGTTACACACAGACAGAGGTGGAACCATCCATTATCATGCTGTGTACCAAAATGTCGACCATAATCAGAGAGAGAGAGAGAGAGAGAGAGAAAGGGAGAGAGATTATTATTATATTGCAATAGTTCCCTTGGTCAGGCAACTTGGCAGGAAACCAGAGCACTAGAAAAATACCTGGGCACGCGAGCATATTCTTTGTCACCTACAGACCGGGGATCCAACCCGAGATGCATAGATAATAGGCCTTATAGATAATATGCCTTATAGATAATAGGCATCACGATCTACAGCTTACGAGCTAGACCCGGACCGGTTGAAGCTTGCATGGGGAACCTTACTGAAAATTGTCACTGGGGTTCTTGCATTAACAGTGAAAGGACGGGGGAAATATTTTGGTTATTACCCCATCACACTAACCCAAATTTAATCTGTATGCCAGTATGGTAGATAGACAGATTTATTTATTTATATACAATATAATGATGTATGGTACAAAATTGATTTGGAACTAAGTTTGGGTTCTTTTAATGTTGGGACCTTTGACTGCATCCCAGTCCCCCCCACCCTCCATGTAAATCCGACCCAAGGTTAGACCACCCCGCCCCCTTCTTATCATTTTAAACTGGATTCGTTTACTTTTTTCGTTTTGACTTGTTGGCAATCGCAACATTGACATGACAACTCATGTCGCCACATTATTAAGATAAAGACCGAGGACACAGTCATGTCAATCTGATTAAAACACAGATCCAATTTCGTTTCGTTTTTTATAGTTCAAAATTTCGTTTTTACTTGTCTTTACTACACTTGGAATCTGGAAGACTTGTTATTTAACTCGTGTTCTGCTTGAAATGAGCGGTCAGCCAATCAAATCGAGCGTTTGACCTTTTTTGCGCGGAACTGTGGGTAGACATTACCAGCGATAGAAATCAAACCAAAGCAAAAGTAGATTTAAAAAAGCATGGCGGTCACTAATTGGTTAATCGAATGACTGACGTTATCGGGTCAAATGTCGCTTGCTTGGTACCTGACGTCATAGAACGTGAACTCCCACTTTAACTTGTTAAATCGACATGTAGTGTAGGCCATCGAAAGTATAAAAAACGAAACGAAATATAGATCTATATTTTAATTAGATTGCAGTCATGTATACCATATACATCATTGGCATGGTATCTTATGATTAGCACCACATCATTAAGATAAAGACCGAGGACACAGATGTGTATATTATGTACAACAATGACATGGTATCTCATTAAGATAAAGACCGAGGACACAGATATGTATACCATATACATCAATGACATGGTATTTCATGATTAGCACCACATCCTTAAGATAAAGACCGAGGACACAGATATGTATATTATGTACAACAATGACATGGTATCTCATTAAGATAAAGACCGAGGACACAGATATGTATACCATATACATCAATGACATGGTATTTCATGATTAGCACCACATCCTTAAGATAAAGACCGAGGACACAGATATGTATATTATGTACAACAATGACATGGTATCTCATTAAGATAAAGACCGAGGACACAGATATGTATACCATATACATCATTGGCATGGTATCTTATGATTAGCACCACATCATTAAGATAAAGACCGAGGACACAGATGTGTATATTATGTACAACAATGACATGGTATCTCATTAAGATAAAGACCGAGGACACAGATATGTATACCATATACATCAATGACATGGTATTTCATGATTAGCACCACATCCTTAAGATAAAGACCGAGGACACAGATATGTATATTATGTACAACAATGACATGGTATCTCATTAAGATAAAGACCGAGGACACAGATATGTATACCATATACATCAATGACATGGTATTTCATGATTAGCACCACATCCTTAAGATAAAGACCGAGGACACAGATATGTATATTATGTACAACAAT